GCAAACTTACGAAAGAAAAAAAAAACACCAGAAAGTGTTCTTATTCTACTCATCACACACACACACACACACACACACACACACACACACACACACACACACACATACACACATACACACACACACACACACACACACACACACACACACACACTGAATTCCATAACATTATATCTGAAAAGGAAATCTACTTAATCCATTGATTGAAATTCTAATCTCATCTGGAAACACCCTCACAGGCACATCAAGAAGTAGCATTTCCCCTAGGCACCTGTGGCCAGTCAAATTAACAGAGAATTAACCACCAAGAGATACAATGCTAATAGAGAGGCACAAACTAAAACAAAATCCTCAGTCTACACCAAGAAGCAAAGAAAAATTATTTTCTCATTCCCCACACTTAGATCTTTCATTTCTTCCTGATTCGTTGCATTATTTGGACAGGTATTCTTGACCATACCACTTGATATTGCTCAATATATACTTCAGTCACAGAGGCTGGGGCAACCTGAAGAAGATCTTGTTACCCATCGCCCAAGCCAATCCATCACCATTGCTGAGCTAGGCTAGCCCTCAGTATCCCTGATGAAGAGATGAGACCATCGCATCAACTGCCCTTAGTGGGGCTCCTCTTGATTTCTCTTATTCCAAGCCAAGTATGTGATATGTGTCATAAATACACTTTAGGATAAGATTACTCAAGTGAGATAGTGTCTCGATAGCTAAGAGCAGAGTGCTCCAGGAACATGAACTAAGACCCTGTGTTGGTTCTTATGTGTTTGGACTCCACAAGAGGGTTAAAAAAAAAGTTCTACAGTGCATATTGCATTAGGAAGGACCATGGAATCTGTGTTAAGTAGCCTTACTGTTCTTCCTGTGTTCTGGTCCTCTATGCCACAGCATGGTACCAAGAGACAATTTTGTTGTTGCTGCTGATGCTGTTGTTTCCAATGACAGAAACTTCCTGGGTCACAGAAACTTTTCAACATCATAGAAAGCTATCTTTTGATTTTGGTATGTAATCTATTTTCCCCCAATTCAACCCATAGTTTTTAAGTTATTCTCTTGAAATTATATAGTAAAAAAAAAAAATACTTTTTTTCAGACAATGATGGTGGCTCTCTTCTCCTTGTAGAGCACACATATTTAAAGCTTCTTCTCCTTTTCCCTTCAACTTCACACCATAAGTTGCAGAAAAGAGCCTCATCTGGCTTAGCAGGGGCAAGAAATGAGGCGGAGGCCTGGTCTGCTGCTGCTGCTGCTGCTGCTGAGTTTCGGGGCTTTGTCACTCCCTGCCTACTCTGGGCTCCCTTAGGCTTTGGGTCCCATATTGCACCTGCTCCAGAAGAGGTGCTGAGTCCTGGTCTTCACTGGGATGAGGTATGAATGGAGTCATGGCATAGAAAATAGACAGCTTCCAATAAAGACCATCCTATAAAGAAATTATTGCCAAGGTCCCTGAAGTTGAAGCGCCCAGATGCCTGCATTTGGCAGATGTCACCATGGCCACTGATCTACTTTACAGGTCAAGGCCATGTTCTGACCAAAGCAGGGCTAACAATCTAGTGTGTTTTGTCCCCTAGTCATGTTCAAATGTCCTGGGAGGTATGCAGTCAGCTGGGGTAGAGGGGTGGGTGGAATCCATTATGAGATAAACAATGTTCATTGAAACAGCAATGTTCTGATTGGAGACTGCCAGCCACATTTTCCCTTCTTAGTAATGTTCAAACCAAGCATCATGCATTGTCACACAGTAATCCAAATCAGGCAGTAATTGAGGACTACTTTTCTATAATGGGACATTATGTGGAGGTTCAGTGCTGAGAAAATAATACTCTATGGAATGGTGATTGGTCGGTATTTTGTGGTGTTTTCCAAATTCTTCAAAGCAAATGTTATGTAACTTTTCATCTAAGAACACATCAACTTATTTTGGGAACTAAAGGGGAGTATGAGTCAATTTTTTTCCTTTGTATTATAAGACACATTATATATTTCTATAAAAAATATAGAAATGTAGAAAGGTCAAGATTTCTCTTGAGAGAGAGAGAGAGAGAGAGAGAGAGAGAGAGAGAGAGAGAGACTGCTCATCTCTCAATCTGAGTATCTGAGTGTTGGCTCCTGAGAGTACACAGTTTTGTAAGAAATTTAAGAAATACTAATTGGGGTAGGGCTTAGCTCTTTCGGTAAAGTGCTTCTAAGTAAGATCACCAAATTCTACACACACACACACACACACACACACACACACACACACACACACACACAAAAGGCATACTGGCATGTGTTTGTAATCCCAATACTAGGGAGGTGGAGACAAAAGAATCACTAGGGCTCCCTGGTCAGGCAGCTCAGCCTTTTTGGCAAGCTCCAGGCCAGTGACAGACCTATCTCAAGCAAGGGTCATTCAGACTATTAGATATCTCACGTCCTGGTTGTGGGAGCTTGGGGGAGACCCTGGCTATATACAGGGATCATTTAGATTACTAGCCAACCTCCAGTCCTGGTTGTAGGAGCTCGATATGGCCTGTCTCAACCGATAACACAGATCACCAGGCTGTTAATCACAGCCTTCTGGAAAAACAGGTTATATGTCTCTTCCATTGGAAATACTATCATGTGTGCTTAACATTCCCGGTTTTCCTGGAGATCTGTGGCCACAAGGACCATCATGCTCCCAACAAGTAGTTGTATTCTTTGCAATATTTAAGTAAATTGCCTATCTGAAAAGATTTTCTCCAACTAACCAAGAAAAGCATGTATCCAAAGAACCCCTGTTATAATTATCCTAGTTATATGTAGCTGAGGATGAGGAAAAATGACTCTAAATATACATCCCATGCCCATTTCAAGACAGTGTCTTCTAGACATGCCAGGAAAATATTCATCCATAAATTCTCAACCCTAGATGAAGAATTACAGGCAATCTGTGGGTGCTTCAAGGGAAAATCAGTTTCCCCTAGGGATGATGCCTCTGCTGGATTACCCACCCAAGTGCAATCAGACCTAAACACAGTACCTGGGAGCAACATTAAATGGACTCAGTAGGTTACATACACATATGTAGCAATATATATGTTACATATGATGTAAAAAAGGAGGCTATGATTTTTTAATTTGAGGAAGCGGAAAGGGGACACAGGAGGACTTGGAGTGGGGAGAGGGAGGGGTGGAAAGGATGTAAATATATGACTCACATATGAAATTCTCCAAAAAATAAAAAAATGTAAATTTAAACAAAAAGAAAACATGGACAAAAATATTAAAAGATAAAGAAGTTTATGACTATATAGTGAAGGGTATGCTCTGAAAATGAATAAATGATTATACTGGCAAGAAAAAAAATCTCTCCAAGGGCTGGTGAGATGGCTCAGAAAGATAAAATCTTACCATTAAACCTGAAGACCTGAGTTTGATCCTGGGAACCCACATGGTAGAGAGAGAGAACAGACTCCTACAATCTGTCCTCTGACTTCTACATGCACACCATGCATGTGCACCTACACACACAAATAAATAAGTAAATAAATAATGATAGATGATAGATAGATAGATAGATAGATCTATATTTCCTATGACATATAAAACAGGTTTGGCATCCTAAAAAACAATTTCCATTAAAAAGACCACAAAGGTAAGGATGAATATGATCATAGAACAGTGATATACATATATGAAGATACCATAATGAAACTTACTATTTTATACACTGAATAAAAATAATAATATACCTGGACTGAGTCTACCAGGTTGACCTCAGTCTGTGGGGAAGGCTTTGCCCTGGAGGAGATGGGAATGGGGGGGGGGGCGTTGGGGGGAAGGTGAGGGGGACGGGAGGGGGGAGAACAAGGGAATCCGTGACCGATATGTAGAACTGAATTGTATTGCAAAATAAATTAAAATAAATTAAAAAATAATAATAATAATAATAATAATATAAAAAGAAAAGGAGACCATGACAGAAAAAAAAAGATGTGGACTCTCTCTTACACATTAATACTGTATAAGCTAGCTGGAGTCAACCACACAGAGATATAGAATATAGCTAAGAAAGCTTACAGTAGAGAAGTAAGCATGGAGCAAGAGATTTGACCAGGTCAGCCTTGGGCCAGTCATATTAATAATGAGCCTCTGGTGCCTCATTAATATGAGAGAGAAATGAATCCACACTTATATCCTTATAATGATATTCTAAGCATGAAACACTGAAAAATTTGATGTTCTATAGGGCAGATAGTAAATTTCACTTATTGCTATTGCTTATCATAAAGAGAAAAATCCTACATTTTTATCATTTATTTATTCTCTTTTTCTTCATTTTTCTAAGTACTACATGATTCTCAAAAGATCCCATGGCATCATGAAAAGACTGTTAGCTACCTGTCATGATACAGTTCATTCACAAAAAGCCCCCCTGGAGGATAATGAGAACAATGAAAGACCGGTAAAGGTAGAGAAAGAAGTGACAGGCAAAATGAGTCTCAAAGAAGACAGGAGGCAAAAATAAATGAGAAGCAGCGACCCTGTAAAACCTGAATGCTTTCCTTTTCAGGGATGTATTTAAGCTTGGGACAGGTTGCTTTGATTATACTGGCTCTGGGAACATGTAAGACTAATTTTGTACCATATATACGTGTGTGTGTGTGTGTGTGTGTGTGTGTGTGTGTGTGTGTGTACTAAACATTACCTAATTGACCAGTTAAAAGTCGAATTACAAGAAGAAATTGAAAATATGAGTAATAATCCAGTGTTCAGAGATCTCAGGAGACTGACTTGGACTGTAGAACCATTCCCCCGACTCTGCCATCCTCTTCATCCTGTGAATTCCACTCCATCTCTGAGGATTATTCTATTTTCTTCTCTCTCAGTAGGCATCTTGAACTTTCTTTCTTTTTTTGGTTTTTCGAGACAGGGTTTCTCTGTGTAGCTTTGCGCCTTTCCTGGAACTCGCTTTGGAGACCAGGCTGGCCTCGAACTCACAGAGATCCGCCTGACTCTTTGAACTTTCTTTTTAACTACATTCAAATATGCACTGACCTGTGTCTGCAACAGAATAGGCAACAGAAATGGTTAGACATGTGATTACAAAGGAGGCCCGCACCTTGTAGAGCCTTGAGAGTGTTAATAGACTCACTTCATTCAACACTGGAGCATGATGATCTCTTCCCATGGGGCTTTTGAGGTCTCATATACTCTCAGGCCATGCCAGTATCTCAGACCACTTCCTGTTGCCTGCACAAGATGTAGAACTCTCCGCTACCTCTCCAGCACCATGTCTGCCTGCATGCCACCATGTCCCACCATGATGATAATGAACTGAAACTCTGAACTGTAAGGCATGCAATTAAATGTTTTCCTTTATAAGGGTGGCCATGGTCATGGTGTCTCTTCACAGGAACAGAAACCCTAACTAAGACATTTAAAAACAATACTGGAGTTGTAGAGATGGCATGGGGTTAAGAGCACTGGGTCCAAAATCATCCGTACCCGAGTTCACATCCCAGTATGCACATAACAAGATGTGTCCTGACAAATGCCCACAGGGAAGAGGGAAAGAAGGACCACTGGGACTGGCTAGCTTTCAGCCTTGCCAAGAAAACCCAAACCCAAGGTTGAAGAAAACAACCCTGTCTCAAAGGAAAAAATTGGAAAGTGAAGGAGAATGACATCTGATAACCCACTCCTGACCTCTGTGTACACACAAACAAACATGTATGTACATACAGATATACATACCTACATATGTGTAATACTCACACATATGCATAAATTAATTAAATATTTTAAAAATAAAAAGTGTTCTATGAGAAAGCTACAGGTAGCAGAGTCCACTTTTATCCCGGGGCAGGAGAAACAAAATTAAACAAAACAACTTCTATGAAATTGAAATCCACTCCTTATCTAAAAATCAAACAACTTAAAGGAATCTTGACTGGGATTCAGGTCCAGGTTGACTCTATTGTGTATAGTCAGTATATCTACCTGAAGGTAGATTTCCACCAAAGAGCCAAAAAAAAAAAAAGGTGTCCTGCACAATGAAATGAACTAGTAACTATCAACCTAAACATTCATAAAATCATTGCAGATAAGCATCAGTAGGCTATTGGCCTAGGAGGAGTCCTGTCTATATTCACATGTTGGCCAAATATCCTACCAGTAATTACTTGGGAATTTGTCAAGAGATATTCATTATTTTGCTGCATTACCTGGCCCTCAGGTTCTTACATCATTCTGCTGCTTAGAAGTCACCTTCACACACCATGGAGGGCCTATACAGTAAGTAAACTGAGATGGGCAAATAGAAATGAGACATATCAAGGTAGGAGGGGTCAGCATAGGTATTTAAAAGTGGCTGGGTCTGGAGCAGATTGTTCTACAAAAATAAGTGAAACAAGAGAAGGTTGAGGCACACCTCATTAGCAAATACTAGTGTTCGTGGAAAGGGAGACGTGGACAGCACAAGACAGCGTGGCATGGCTTGGATTACCTTCTACCTTCTAAATGTTCTCTGGGCTGTGGCAGGAACCAGCACCCAAAACTCTTGCTGTGAGTATGGTGATTATTCCAATGGCAAAGAAGCAGTCTCCCTCCAGAGAGGCAGAGATCTCAGGCACAGTTCTACTGATGAGAAAGGGGTGGAACAGCAATCACTATAGGAGTTCTGAAGAGGTAGGCATAAGTCAAGGATGGAGACATAGCCATCTTTCATGACTTCACAGAATAATTCTTGGAGAGTCAAGTCCATACACTTTTTATGGAGAGAGCGTGAATTATGATTGCAGAAATGCTGGCTGCTGGAACAAGATAGATATTTAGTGGTAACTAAGACTACATGGGAGGCATGAATATCTGATAAGCAGATTATGCCTCAAATCATCAATATTTTTCATGAAAGAGTAGAGGGAAATGAATGCTAAAGAAAACAGTGACTAATAGGATAGTTAGAAATCATGTTAAATACTTCTGAGATGTACTGCTCAAAGTTAGCACATGAAAAAAATCACTTTAAAGATAGAGACTGTTGGAGAAGATGTAAGGACTAATGAGCCTCTAAAGAAAAATGCTGATATTTTCTGCATTTCTCTTCTGTCTCCTCAAATCTCTCAAGCCTTCTGCTAAAAGGCCTAGAAGACACAGGAAGGACACTTCTGGGAAAGGGATGAGGGATGGGGGCAATGAGGGATGAGTGGTGGGGTGTTGCAAGTGGCTTTCCTTTTCTCAGCTGTCCCCCCAGAACAGCAGCCCTGGGTCAATGGCCTACAAGTGCTCATGGAGAAGTCGGTGACAAAGTCAGACTTCACAAATCCCAGCATCCTGATTGCCATGAACCTGGCCGGTGCCTACAATCTGGAGGCCCAGAAGCTCCTGACTGACAGGCTCATGGCCACTGACAGTGCAGGTTAGACACTGGAGCCCTTCCCCGAAGCCTGAATCACACAGGCCACCCCGGACCCCAGGTCTCTGTCATCGCCCACCCCAATTCACTCACCTTTCCCTACACAGCAGAAGAACATCTGTAGCTAAACATATGTGACATCGGAAGAGTCAGGGGAGAGGGGAGGGATGCACAGGGAGCTCCAGACTCAGGGAAGAAAGCAGGCACTTCTGCTTCCAAATTTGCTGCTTATGAACAGTCACTGGATACCACTTACTCACCTTGCTCTCTAAGGACACAAACAATAACAATAGGTGTATGACAAAGGTTTACTTTCTGCCTCTAAGTCTCCACTGACTTTCATGGGTTTTCTCCTTTCTTTTCTAAACAGACAGCATGGGTTCTTTTCTTAGCATATATTAAACATAAGAAATAATTAGCTTCACTGTGCAGTCACTGAGTCACACAAACAACACTACATTCTATGTTTCTTCAAAGACTTCTTTCCATATTTCTTTCTTTGGAAAAAAAGAGGTTTTAAAATGATGTGAGTGCACTACTGCAAAATCCAAATCCTGGATTTGAGGTTTTGAATATAAGGCTGGTAGATGCTGTGTATGGTGACATACACCTATAACACCAGCACTCATCAGGAGTGAGTTCAGGGCCAGCCAGGGATACAGAGTGTCTCAAATATTAAAAGGAGGTAGTGAGCAGCAGCTGAATGATGGGCTACTGAGGGGGCTCCATGGGTCAAGGAGCTTGTTACACAGGCTTCCCCATCTGAGCTTGATCCCCAGAATTCACATAACGTTAAGAGGAATAACTGACTCCACAAAAATGCCTTTTGACCTCCACATACATCTGTGTTGTGGCTTGCACAGACACACACACACACACACACACACACACACACACACACACACACGAACACAGTAATAAAAATAATAAAAATAAATACATAGTTTAAAAAAAACAAGTGCAGCTCTCAATCTAGCCCTTGGTGGCGCATTGCCTGAGAATGCCTACCATCATAATTCTGTTCTCTTTTCCATAGACCTGACAAGCGGGCAAATAGCCCTCACCATTATGGCGCTCACCTCCTCATGCCGAGACCCTGGAAATAAAGTATCCATTCTGCAAAATAAAATGGAGAACTGGGTGTCTCCAAGTAAGACCTCGTGGGGAGGGAGGGAAGAGTGGAGGGCAGGGTCCTTCCTGAGATTTTTTTAACCTTGAAAGGAAAATATGGAAGTGAGAAGAGTGAAAAGTCAGAGAAGAGAAACAAGGCCGCCTATACTCCGATAGTCCCACCAGTGAGACACTCAGTTCTCAGCCAAAATGAGCTAGAGAAGCCAACTGCCCAGGCATGGACTGGGCAGCCACCATCCTCCCAGGGTCAGCAACATCCCTCTTGTCTTCAGATGCCAGATGACATTCTAATTCTGAGAAACACTGATGTCATCCTTTGCCAATACTGTCTCTTTTTGTGGTGACAGGTTTTCTAGTGATTTCTATTTAAAAGCTCCAGCCTATGCTACTCAAAACGTCTCCAGTGTGGTGAGTGTTAATCTAAGGATGGTTCTCTATTGTCTTCTGAGGCCCCGGTGCTGAAGCCTCAGCCTTCTATGGGCCCAGTCTGGCGATCCTCGCACTGTGCCAGAAGAACTCAGAGGCAACCTTACCCATCGCAGTGCGCTTTGCTAAGACCCTGATGAGGGAGTCTTCTCCCTTCAATGTGGGTAAGTTGATGCCATCAGACACTGACCGAGGTGAGAGTATCAGAGTCACAGTAGACGAGAGGTAGTGGTGGAGGGGGAAGCAAAGGAGAAAAACCTTCCATGGAGGTAGAGCTGGGAGCCATGCAGGTGGGGGTGGATGAAAAACATTGAACAAATGTTTGTTGGACTTGTGAGTTAAGGACAGACCTCCACTGGGACAATAAACATGTCACACAAGTTACAAGTAATTTTCAAATAAAATGGAGATAGATGTCTTACATCACCCCTACCCTGCACTCCATTAATGTATACCAATTCTCCCATATTCTGCATATTTCAAGATATTTCTCATTTTTTCCATCCAAATGTCCTCTAGAAACAGCTATTTTCTGAAGCCAACACAGGGACCTTCTTCTCCTTTTGTGTTACCCACATTGGGCTGCTTATGAATGGAATCCTTTCCCACTGTGATGCTATTTCCTTCTTAAACTTTCTGTGTGTAATGATCTTTCCTCTGTTGGGGCCCCTGGCATGGACTCCCTGTCATGACCCTCTGCCTCTCTCTAAGCAATATCATCTCAGGCTTTCACTCACTTCCACAGGCCTCAACAGTAAGCTTTTTCTTTTTACTATCAAGACAAGCAGGCAGATACAGTCTAGGGCCCTTCCCAGGGATCAAGAACAGGCTGGTATCCCTCTCCATCTGGAACCTCACACATGGTTGGGGCATCTCTGGCAGTTCAGTAAGTGAGGTGGACCTCTTTGTCTTCAGATGTCCATAGCACTGTTACTCTTAATGGAGCTATGAGACTTTCAAATGAGGTGAGAAGGGCAGTGACATACAGTTGCCATCTGGATGGCATTTTACTTGTTCTGGTCTTGTCAGAACTTGCTCATTTGACCCACACATGTTTATCACATGCAAATAATGAAAAGTCTCTCTGTGCTGGGTGCTATGATGGATGCAAAGTTCCCACTGCCCAAGCATGCACAGAACCACACACATGACACAGAATGCTGACAGAGCAAAACAGTCATAAACTACAAATGCTGAAGAGACTCAGGCTGCTGTGCTGGGAAAACCAAGATGCCTTCACTGAGGTGTGACAGCTGGGCCTTCCAGAACGCTGACATCTCAAAAGATCAACCTTGACATGAGAGAAGTGGGATTGAGCATACTGCCATTTACACTATTTAAAGTTTCAAAGTCTGCAGCTGTCCAGTTTATTTTAAAGCCTGACCCTGTTGCTTCCTGGCTGTGTGGTCATGGGCAGTTCCTTTACTGCTCTGAACTCCCACTTCCTCATCTCTTAAATGAAGATAGGTATAGGTCCTGTTCCTTAGGTGGTCCCAAGATCTAAAGGAGGTCCTGTCACTAGATCACAATAAGCACCTGATGAACATTGGCTGTGGGATCTGCCTCCCCTCTGCCTTCCAGACACAGGAGCAGTAGCAACCTTGGCCCTGACCTGCATGTACAACAGGATTCCTGTAGGTTCTCAGGAAAATTACAGAGACCTGTTTGGTGAGGCACTGAAGGTTCTTGTGGATAATATCAGCTCGAAAATCAACGCTGATGGCATCATTGGAGACATCTACAGCACCGGCCTTGCCATGCAGGTAAACCCATCCTATATGCTACTAATCTAGAGCAGAATAATAACCTTGAACTGTAGCACCAAGGGACTTTGTGTCTACTAACACACCTGGGAAAGTCCAACTAATGTGATTTGGGGTCAATTCCTGAACTACCTTGCTTCAGTTTCTCCACTAGCAAAATGCAGATATATGCTAGCTCATAGATAAAATGTAAAGACAAACTTAAAAGAATTCATCCTCCTTTCTTGGAAATATGGAACAAATAAATCAAGAATTTTGAGGGTTTATTATCAATAATAACCAGTTTACTAGTAACAGTCATATACTATTGAAAGTTTGATGCATACATACTGATTTGAAAGCAGATCTTCAAAAAACTTATTGATGGAATTTTCTGCTTCAAGCTTACCAGGAAAGTGTCCTTTTCCCCCATTTATGTTTACCTATAAAAAAGTTGGTTTGTATTTAAAATGATTAATCTAAGTAATCTAAAGATGACTCAAACATACACACACAAATAAATAAATAAATAAATAAATAAATAAATAATAAAAATAACCCAGTAAATAGTAGAGCCAAGTGCAAGAAGCTAAGTCTGTAGCCCATTTTATGCCTCCCTCACGTATCTCCAGGCTTAAATTAGGAAAGATGCTCCTTGACAGCCCCAAATCCATCGCCATCTTCTAGCCACTGTTCACTAGAGCAGGAATCATCCATGGTAAGCAGATATATCTCCTATGGATCAAGGAATAGATTATAAGAACTCAGCTGGTTATGGCAAAGCCACTACCTGAGGGATCAAAGAATTCCTTCAGAGGAAGCCAAATTCCGAGGAGCATTTGGTGTTATTTGGTTTGTTATATATCAGCTGTCTTCTGTTATGAAAATCATGTGTGCCTTCATAGTTTTCCCAATTGGTTTTTCCCTAAGAATTGCTAACAGTGTGGACTGATCACTCTCTGGCCATACACATTCAAGGAATTTGGAAACAGCCTCAGGAAAGGCTTCCTTCCCCTTAGCCCATCCGTTTCTCCCCTTTCAGCACTGGAATCAGATCTCTCCCTTAGCCACATTCAAGGACTAACAGAAATAATAGTCCAGACCACCATATGCTAGTCTCCTGACTTAAGGTAAATTCCACAAGGAGACACCACCTAGGTCAGGTGGACCTTAAGTAATTACTTTACACAATTTAGCTTGGACCCTCCTTTCTTACAGCCTTACTAACTTTATAGACCCCTAACTTCTTACCTAATCACTTCTCAGAATGTAGAACACATAGATCCCCTTTTTGATATACTAACTGGTCACTAGCACTCAATTGACATCCTGTTTTGGCACTCCCATTTTGGATTGTAAAATAAAGCCTGGTGGTCACTGCCTGAGGAAAATTCTTACCTGCCTTTATGACCCAGTAAGACTTCAAGCCTGGTGACCTTGCTCTGCAAGAGGATTGCTATTGCTTGGGTTTATAACTGGATTCCTGGGAGACTTGGGAGGAACGTAGAGAACTCAGAGGCAGAGAACTGAGAGAGATAAGGAGGATTATGAAAATAGAGAATGTGTGGACGAGATGGAAGATGAGGAAGAACCAGATGGGTAAGTACTAGCTGGGTAAGAACAAGATGAAAAGGACCTAGATGAGGCAGAATTAAGACAAGAGAATTAAGATAGAACTTAGAGGGAGCAGTAGATATAGAGAGAAATCATGCAAGAAAGGAGCTAGGCACAAGAACAGAACTGTGTAAATAGGATGTTATCCCAGTGGCATTAAAGCAAGTGGACTAAAGAGCTTGGTGTGCTGAGATTCTATTTTCCAAGAATACTCCTCGCCCTTTGTAGTTTTCTTTCCTGAGCCCCTGGGAAGTATAATATTATGTAGCTCTCAGTTACTATTAGAAGGAAATCATCTCCTAAAAAAAGAGAGAGAGAGAGAGACAGAGTGTGGTGTTGGTAACCTCCACAGACTAAAAATTAGGGAAGAGTCCAAACAGCACATGTAATAGTCAGTGTCAAACATAAGAGTGAAGACAAATCACCAGCCCAAAATACCATATGTGGAGGTGACTAAGAGCAAAGTCAGCTTTTGTCACGAAACAAAACATTTTTCCCACAGCTGACCCATACAAAAGCATCCCCAGAACTCATGTCTAGAAATTCCTGTGGAAAGCAGGCAGCCTGAAAGAATGAGGTTAAGACTGGGTTTGGCAGGCCGGGTCACGTGCTTAACCTTGTCTAACGAGTTTGATTGCTTTAGTGCCAGATGCAGAACTGTTTACTTTGCTGATTTGGCTTAGAACTTCTATTTGGGATTTCATCACTTTCTAGTACACTCTGGTAGATTATATCTGAGAATAAAAGCTTTTCCTATCAAAGGGTAAGACCTCATCCACATCCAGATACCACTTACCATGTAGATTTCTTGTCACTTAAGAAACATAACTCCTCCCTACCTGCCTGCTGAGGACTAACTACCTGGTGCCTCTTAGACCAAACTGCCTTCTAAAGTGGCCTCAAGGGAGAGCTAAGGTCTTCATTTGTCAAAGTTAATGGTGTGACCATACCTGTCACAAATGTCCAGGTGCCACAACTGCTCTCCCTAGCTGAAACAACTATCTCTGACTCCCCTCCACCTTCTCCCATTTTCTCTTCCAGCTTCATGCAAATGTGTCATTAGCCAACAAAGCTCAACTACCATACTTGGTGGCTCTAGTTAACGTAACTGTAAAGGAAGGGAGGATGCAATGAGTTTCCACATCATGCCTTGCAAAATGCTTTTCCACACTTGCACACTGGACTCTCAAATGATACCCCCTCCACACTTGATCTTAGCCAAAAGGCCGAGAAGCGATGATACCCCCTCCAAAGACAAGCAGGATTTATACTTTCTAATTTGCCCCAAAGATAGAAATCTAGGCAAGAATAAGTGAATTGCTTGGTATAATAATCCAGACTCATTTTTCCAGTTACAGAAGCCCAATTTTAAAAATGCCAATTTAATATTTCACTTTCCTAGGTGTGTCCAAGGCCAGATGAAGTGGTTTCAAGAAAAACCATAATAAAAAGATCAAATGATGACATCAAAGACCACTATTAGTTGTCTACCATCCATGGTTTCACTCATTCTCTCCTGACCTGTAGAATTTAAGATGGTCAATGACAGCTTGGTGCTTACTCATACAGTCCCAACTGTACAAGCAAGAGAAATGATTTTTCTCTTTCAGTATTGGTGTATCAGGGAAGGAGTGATTGGTGCAGGCATCCACCAGTCACTGTTCCCAAGAACTCCAGTGCAACCCAGAACATGATTCCATCCCAAGGCCAGGGTTGTGGAATGTAGTCAGAAGTTTTCCTGTGTGTTGCGCAGCTGCACCATCCCTCAGTTGCTTATAAAATAATCATTAAGAAGCTTATATTAATTATAACTGCTTGGCCATTAGCTCAGCATTATTACTGACTAACTCTTACACTTAAATTCACCCATAATTCTTATCTATGTTTAGCCACATGACTTGGTACCTTTTCTCAGTTCTGCCTTGTCATCTTGCTTCCTCTGTGTCTGGCTGGCAACTCCTAACTCAGCCTTCCTCTTCCCAGAATTCTTCTTGTCTACTTATCCCACATATATTTTCTGCCTGGCTACTGGCCAATCAGCATTTTATTGATCAACCAATCAGAACAACACACATTCACAGCGTACAGAACAACATTCCACAGCAGTGGAAACTGACTGACAGTCCTAACATAGACATGGGCTTTGGGAGAAGTCCACCAAAAGGTGTGCATGACAACACAAATCAAAAACCGCATGTGCCAGTCCAGCTGCCCTAGACTGCAGCTCCTTCTGTGGTTTGCTTTGTTACTCTTGTTCCACATTTAAAAACTATTCACATATACAGCAGTCTTGGCTGTATTTCCTGACTCCAGTCATTGACTAAATAATTGTTCAGTGGCTATTTTTTAAAATCATTTGTCAGTGTTTGTTTTTTTAATTGTTTTATTTTAATTTATGTGTATGGGGTGTTTTTCATATACATGCCTAATACCTGAGGAGGCCATAAGAGGGCAAGGCCTTGTGCTGCTTCAGTTTGGGTTCTGGAAGATCATAATGATTAGCAATAAAGTTCATCCCTCCTGAGAGCCAACTTCCTGCCATACCTAATCTTTCCTCTCTTTCTCTCTGCTTGCCCATGCCTGCCCCCTCTCTCCTAGGCTCTGTCTGTGACACCTGAGCAACCTATCAAGAAATGGGACTGCCAGAAGACTATGGATATGATACTCAATGAGATTAAGCAGGGGAAATTTGAAAACCCCATGTCCATTGCTCAAATTCTCCCCTCCTTGAAAGGCAAGACTTACCTAGATGTGCCCCAAGTAAATTGTGGTCCTGGTAAGAACTTTTCAATGGCTTCCCCTTTTATAACATAAAGGTGCTACTTAAAGTACAATGGCATGTGGCTTGATGTTGAGTGGAATATTAGATTGTTTTGTCAATTCATCCCAGATAGGTAGAGCTATGCTCTCCAATCCCCAAGCATGTGTACTAGCCCATAGCCAAAAGGCCTAGCTTAAGAATTCAGTTCCTTATACGAACACCTACTTTAAGGAGGTAGATGGCCTGTGGTCAACACAGGGAACTTCATTCATTTGACAAATGTACTGCCAAACATCACACATGTCTCATCTGCTCTTTTGTACTGCCAAACATCACACATGTCTCATCTGCTCTTTACAAAGTCAGGAGACAGACATGCAGATGAAACTCCAGACTTTACAGTAATGAAATCAGTGTTAAATAGGAATCAATATCATCTACATCGCAAAGGCAAAAAGAAGAGGAGAAGGAAGAAGGAGAGGAGGAGATGAATAACCAATTGTTGATTTTATTTGAAGGGCTGAAAAGGCACAAATGAAATTCACACAAGCCTTCAGGATATAATAATGACAGCCTGACACTCACAGAACACCAACAGGATGAGGTAGAAGCATAACATGTTACTTTGTAGCATTTTTGTATCCAATCAAATACAATACTGAAATATTTAAAATTCAGATTGCCTATAAAGAGCCTTCCTAAAACTTTTGTCACTCCAGAAAATGTCTGAAATCAACTCCTTCAATTCTTTTTATTCTTATCAAATACTTCCGCTTGCATCCACTAGTTAGTTTCATATGACAGGAAGAAACTATAAGCTCCTCATAGACTTCAGTGCCGAATCTACAGGAGTCAAACTCAAGCAAATCCACTGCCATCATGTGAAATACCTTATGCTGCTGCCCAGTGACAGCACAAGTCTAACATGGAGTCCTTGCCAGGATTCTGGAATGGTTGTCCAAGTATCTGTGTAAATAACCTAAAGGTTACTATTTTCTTGAAATCTTTTCTGGGATAAGTTCCCAATAACATTGACTTTTGCATCCATCACTCAAACACCAAAATCTTTAATAAACTTTGCCTTTTTGTTCCTCACAGATCATGAAGTGCCACCAACTCCAGCTGACTATCCTACCCCCGTCCCCACCTCACCATCTAATATTACCGTCATATACACCATAAACAACCAGCTGAAGGGGGTTGATCTGCTCTTCAACAAGACCATTGAAGTTAGTGTGAGGAATGGATCTGTGCTACTTGTTGTCCTAGAAGAAGCGCAGCGCAAAAACTCCATGTTCAAGTGAGTGGTGCAAGTGATGTTGTCATCCCCCAAGATGAACTCAAATTCCCATATATTCTCTCTCCCTCTCCCTTCTCTTCCCTCTCCCTCTCCAGGTTTCCCTCCCTCCCTCCTCCTCCCCTCCTTAAGATCATGCAACATGTAACTAACAGAGTTCAGAGCTAAGCATGGATTTGACTGTCTTTGAAATTCATGTTTCTACCCACTGTCCTGTTAAGAAAGAGTAGAATGTGGAAATGAATCCTAGGGGAGAATTAAATGAAATGTTAACCGTTTGCAAAAAGAGGAAGCAATAGAGGAAGATAGGGAGATCACAGTTTAGTAGTTAAGGGACCATGCTAATTCATGGGGGGAAAAAGAGGACACTTGATGCCCAAACCTTCTGGATATACTTTACAAGTTTAGCATTTAATATTGCCTGATTTTTCTTCCGTCTATAAATATGAAAAGGACACACAATACATAATAGAAACTTGGAGAGAAAAAAACATAAAGAATAAATTGCCTTCACAACCACAATATAATCAGTTATTTAATAATTTGGTAGACTTTTTTTCTATGGATGGTACAAACAGTTGTGATTCTTCATATTCATTGGCTGGCATATGTTTCTCTAAAATCTGAGTCCTTAATTTTTTAAAATGTATTTTATGTTTAATTATGTGAGGAATGCATATACACATGTTAGTGCACGTACCTATGGAGGCCAAAGGCACCAGACACCATGCTTCTTTGAAGACAGTACTCTGAGAATTTGGACATTGCTAAAGTTGATCAATAATAGAACACATCCCCAAACAATCCTCATGCCCACTGTCCTCTATGATGGCAGTTCCTTTTATTGCCATGTAATATTCTATAGAGGAGAACCTTGGGCACTAACTGAGCCATGGAGATGTATGTAAGAGTAGAAATGTTTTATTGTACATACATGAAGAGACTCATTAGTCTGGAGTCTTCACCATACCAAACAGAAATTAACCCATGGAATCTGGCAAACACATAATAAATTGTGCAAACTGAATTGTTTGTTCTAAATAATGTATCCATAAGACATGAATATCTAAATATGGAAATACCTATCAACCTACTCAAGTAAAAATATAAAGAAAACCCCTTTATTAATTGAAATTCCATTTTAAGTGGCATGATTCTATACTCATTACTCATTTGCATTTTCTCTTTTGAATATTATTTGCATCTGCTCTTTAAAGCATTTGAACATCTGTCCTCCATCTTGCCTCCTGTTGCCTGACTTCAACTAAGGTGGTAACTATTTACATTTTATTCTTAGATTTGAAACCAGAATGACATCTTGGGGCCTTCTTATCTTTTCTATCAACAATATCGCTGAAAATGTTAATCACAAGACATACTGGCAGTTCCTTAGTGGCAAAACACCTTTGGCTGAAGGTAAGGAAAGAAAAGGAATATGTTTTTCTTCCACTTGGAAGGCTACATTTACAAATTCTTTAATTAATGTACTTGATAAATGTGATGCTGTACATGTTTATGATAAGGATATACATAGGAACTGAATGTCATATGTAGTCATTACATAAATACTCTACAATTATTAGAGACTCTTTTTACAGGAAGGTAACTAAATCCATGAGATGTGATATGAATTATATACATTGGTGATGAACTCCAAGTAACCAATAATGCATCAGCATAGCATTAAGTAAAGAAATGAAAGCATATCCCCCTTGGGACCACTTAGCCAAGAGCAAGTCCAGATTTGAATTCTCTACTTCATTACACCTGTGTCTTCCATCCTCTGTCTTTCTGTTGCATGACTCTGAATCTGTGCTTGCCTGAAGAAGACTGTCTTGTCAGTCTGCCTGGCCTGTGTGTGCTGTGTGCATCTGTCATGATGTGTCTCTGTCTGTGTGTGTCTGTGTGTCTGTCCCTCACAAAGGGCTTTGATCTGTGTTTATTGAACAGCACAGAGTATCACATGAGGAAAGAATGGGATACTTTACAGAAATCTTTAACAGTACTACAAACATCAGTGTTTATAAACCAATTTCCATAGATGGATGCTTTCAAACTTTATGATAGATTTTAGGAAGTTGCTTTCAACTTCTGTATTTGCTGCTTTCAGCAAATGATACACATGCATTGTTCTGGGTAAGAGGCATGGAAGAGTACATAACTTAATAACTTAATATTACATCTATGCATTATCTTGGGTTGTAAAAGTTGATTACATGGGAAATTCAAGGCAAGTATGTTGATTCTTATACTGTTCTCAGAAAGGTAGGTTAAGTAAACAGGCTGAGTACTCAGTAAGGTAACAGTCTTAAGTCTTAAGTGCCCTCAAGTTATGCTATTAACTCTAGCGGTAAAATCCAGCAAAAGTTTTCATAATATCACATCACCATGAGATGTCAAAGTGACCTGTATGAAACATGAGCCTAGAATTTAACAGAACAGACAACCAAGTCCAGGTTCCCAAACTCTAGGACAAGTGAGCTTTCTAACATAGATTCATCAAAAATTCAGCCCTCACCATCTGTTTAATCTCTCAAAGAAGGAATGTTGTCATGGCATTTATGTGGTAAATATAGCTAGAGTGAAACTCAGATTCCAGCAAAATCTTAATTTTTCTGAAAGTTTTGCATAAATGCTGAAACATCTTCCCACTTAAAGAGAGCACTGAGACATGCTTTTGTCTAAGGATCATGTTGACCTGACATTGTTACCATGAAGAGGACTGTAAATCCAAACAGAGTCACAGGAGGCCAGTGTTGTATCCTGAAGGCTCCATCCTCCAGTTTCACCATGGGAGAGATGTTTTGCTTGTCATCTACCATGGAGTTAGGAAAAACTGGCCAGTCAGAATTCATGAGCTGCAGCAACAGGCTTTGCAGAAAGTTCTTCTCATAGTTATAATCTACATTAGACAAATAAGGAATCAGTCTCTATAGCTATAAAATGGAAATGCCACTCCTTGGGTTGTTGTTAGGATTAGAAAAATTGATTACAAATATTAACTACAATATCTTTTGCAGATTATGGGTTCAAAACACTGTTATTATTGTCATTTCTCCCACCACCTTGATCTCAAGAAATCATTCTGAAATTTTAAAGGGATTATTCCCCTTGTCTGCCAATTACTTCCCTTCTCTGGGAGCAAGGACAGTAAAAGTAAAGATAGCAGATTCAAAAACATTTGGGCATGAAACTATCATATTTCCTGCTGCCTGAACACCTAAAAGATAAAAGCTATCAATATCATCTATCATTATTGGCTTGAAAGATTCTCAGCCTACTGCCCCTCCTATTTCTTACAAAATCTTCCAAAAATAAGTGAGATTCTCCCTTGAATACTTTAATTTGAGCTATTTATTGTATGATTCCTATGTGCCAGATACATCTTTTTTTTTTTTTTTTTTTTTTTTTTTTTTTTTTACTATTAACCTGTAACTTTTATTTTTATTTTATACTTTAAGGACTAAAGCTTCACATATAAAAATAAACAAGGTGCAGAGGTAATACTTTATGCTAAAATAGAAACAGAGGTACTGTATAAAGACAATAAATTTGCAATTGTGACAATATACAAAAATATCATAACCAGAGGTAGAAATGTAAAATGCAATGACAAAATAACCTTAATTTGCATTAATATACAAAATTGAAAGAAGATACACTGTAACAAAATTAATTTTACAAAATTAAAGATACAAAAATATCTTAAATGGAAGAAACATATATACAATATAACCAAATAATTTTGAATTTTTGTCTAAGATACTTAGACAAAAATATAAATATATATATACAGTATAACAAAAATAATTTTGACTTTATATCAATATACAAGATTCCATATCAATGTATATTATTTAAAACTGATAGTCTACCTTTGGTCTTATCATTTCTACCCCATTTTTTTCTATTCCAAACAAGGTCCTTGAATTTAATCTCTATTGTTCTGCCCCAAACCCTGTAACAACTTGTTATCAACCTCCTAAGATGACAATTATCCATAACTTTGAGAAAAACCCAAAAGCCACCCTCCCCATCAATTGATAAAGTAGGTATCATTTTCTTTTTTTTATTAAAGATAACAGCATTTCAGAGAAAATATTTAACAAAATTTTCGACATGAGAGAAAAGAGACTGGCACATCTTAAGGGGTTACCCCCAAAGACAAGATCCATAAAATGGCAACCTAAATGCTAAAAAAGAGAAATATATAGATATCTGTCATGCAAGATAAAAAAACAAATACAAGAGGAAAATAAAATATCTTTACCAAAAAGAAGAAGTGGAGGAGAAACAGGGAGAGAGACAGAGAAGGAATCATTCCACCTGTCTAGGGACTGGATAGATGGCTTCATAGTTAAAAGCACCTACTGCTCTTGCAGAGGACCCAGCACCCACATCAAATGACTCACAAAAGCCTGTAATTACAGTTCCTCTTCTGGCTTCCACCAGCACCTTCACACATGTGGCACACACACACACACACACACACACACACACACACACACACACACCTAATAAATCTTTTTGAAAGAAAGAAATCCATGAACAGGGCTAGCAAGAGCTGGCCAAGACATTTGACACCAGACTTGGTGACCTGAGTTTGATTCCTGGGACCCACATGATGGAAAGAGAGAATCAACTCTGACCTTCACATGCATGCACCTACACACATACACACAAATAAGTAGCAATAATAAAAGTATTTTAAAAGAAATCCTTAAACATCCCAAATTCATATTTCTACCCACTTCTCCCCGTGGTAATTTAATAGGCTTAACGGGCTGATGTTTTGGAATGGGAAGTTTACATGCACCATGGACATTTGTTATCCTTTGCCTCTTTCCAGGGGTTGCTTACTATGTTCCCTCCAACTATGAGCACATCACAGCCAACTTCACCCAATACTGAGGAGGATCTTCTGCTGCATGTGACCAAAGGATGAGGTTTTTTTTTTTTCTCATTTCATTTCAAATCTATGCCAAGAAAAGTGGATGTTAACAATGCTACTCTATTTCTGATTTTAAAAAAAAAACCCACAGAGCCACTGTGGGGAAAAACAGTGCACAATACAAACTTCCTGGGGTACTCACCATTGTTACTCATGAAATAAAACTTCTGGCTTCTCAAAACAGACTGTCAGTTGCCATTTACAACTCTGGTAAGGGAGAAGGAAAGCCCCAGTGATTTGGGGAGATCAAAGCAATCTTCTGGATTAAGCAACACACTCACTACTTCAGACATCTCTGAAGTCTCCAGAAGGAAGATGGGACCCCACAAAAATGACTCTACTTAGTCCAGAAATATGTCCTTGTACCTAAGAACATTACTCAATGATCAGCCTTGGACTGATAATTCTTTAGGACAATTCCAAGATGAGACGGTCCATCATACTATACTTTTAGCCAGAATCTCAGACAATCTTACCCATTACTCTGAGACTGGCTGCAAACTCTGTAGCTCGTCCTTTTGAGACCTAACTATCTAAGCTTTCTTACAGGACCCCACAGAGATACCATTGAGCCCTGAATAACAGGAAGCAGTTCTAAGGAAACAACACCCCTCTCCCGAAGGTTTCATTTTTCTCAAGGTTATGGATGGATGGTTGTAGAGTTGGGAGGTGGAATAATAAAATTTACACTCAGTATTGTCCTTTTTAAAAGAAAAAGGGATATGGATAGGTGTGGAGACCAGCTGGGAGACGGGCTCCCACATTTTACCCCAGGGTACTCTTGAGGAGAGAAGGATAAGAGATTTAGATAGAAGGATAGAGGGGAGAAAAACAGATAGAAACACAAGATAGCCTTGGGAGGGCCTGGATCCTAATCCACTGGCCCTTTTGTCTCTTATAAAGGGCTATTTATAGGAATGCCAAGGGGTGGAGCAAAAGACCTCCCACAGGACAGCCAAATGCAGACCCTTTCCAATCACCTGGAACCATGCACATTGTCAAGCAATCCTCTAATGCAGCTCTGCTGGGTAAAGCAAGTTCAGATCTCACTAGGAAACCTTTGTGGGCCTCCACAATTCCCCCTTCTTGATATAAAAGAGAGCTCCCCAGACCCCGCAGATAGACTTGCCTGTCTTAGGTCATCTTTCTTGATTAATTTTACATTCATACATTCAGGAAGTTATCAAGAAGAATGTTGCCTGTCTTTGGCTACCAACCTCTGGCAAGAGGGGGTACAGAGCTTAACTCACCTCTGGCCCAAGCCCCTACTAAGAGCTTGCAAACATCCACAGTGATCTCCACAGCTGCCACACCTCCCAGTAAAGGAGTAGAGGATAATAAAGATGGAATATCCTTATTGGAATAGGTCTAAGGTGATTACAGCAGTCTTAGCTGCACCAAGCCCTTTTCCTGGATCAAAACTTTCTCCTAACAGATGTTCAATAAAATTTTCAAGAGACTATTTTGATTCCCAGGAGAAAACAGTCATTTCAAAACACTTCAAAGTATCCACTCAAGTAAACAAAAACCCATGCTAATTATAAAGATATTTTTACAAACTAACTTGATTGTGGGAAGCTTATACCTTTGTGGGAGGCCTACCCCTTTCTAAACAGAAACAGAAGGAGTGGAAACTTCCAGGAAGAAGACAGAAAGGCTCCCCTAATTATGACACCTTCACTTGAGTTTTCCAGGGGCTACTAAAATCATAAAATTATATTTTAAGCTATCAAAAAAGCATTCAAATATATCTGAAGATAAAAGAGTAATAAAAACTTTGAGATGCTTCTAATGTCATTAATTTGGTTTATCCTTTAAAAATTAATGTTGCCGGGCGGTGGTGGCGCACGCCTTTAATCCCAGCACTCGGGAGGCAGAGGCAGGCGGATCTCTGTGAGTTCGAGGCCAGCCTGGTCTCCAAAGCGAGTTCCAGGAAAGGCGCAAAGCTACACAGAGAAACCCTGTCTCGAAAAACCAAAAAAAAAAAAAAAAAAATTAATGTTAGCCAATTCGTCTGGACTAGATAGATATTGATGGAGTAATAAATATAATTCTAGTATGAACTTCACTATACACTTTTTACAAACTTACTTACATTCTACATTTACACTTTTTACATTCAATAATTACACTTTTTACATGTTTATTTTGAAAGGAAACTCTATGGAACTTGTAGATAGAATTTTCCTGCCTGGCCCACAGTCAGGACAAATCTCTGTCACCCGCCAGTCCCACAGCCGCTCAGACCCAACCAAGTAAACACAAAGACTTATATTGCTTACAAACTGTATGGCTGTGGCAGGCTTCTTGCTAGCTGTTCTTATATCTTAAATTAGCCCATTTCTATTAATCTATACCTTGCTACGTGGCTAGTGGCTTACCAGCATCTTCACATGCTGTTTGTCATGGCAGTGGATGGCAGTGTCTCTCTGACTCAGCCTTCTACTTCCCAGAATTCTTCTCCTCCTTGTCCCGCCTATACTTCCTCCTGCCTGGCTACTGGCCAATCAGTGTTTTATTAACCAATCAGAGCAACACATTTGACATACAGAACATCCCACAGTAGGAACTATTTTAGCACATATCTAGAAGAGATCTCTTAACAAAACTAACTTGCATTCAAAAGCAAACTCTATAGCAAACATCTAGAAAGAATCTCTTAACAGAACTAACTTTTTTCTTTCAACAAGACAGAGAGTACACAAATCATAAGTTATCATAGTAAAAATTATAAGTGAACTCAGCACTGCTTTATTTCTGAAAGTTCAGAGTTCATGGTCATCTTTAATATCCTTCTGAAAGTTTTCCTGACAGTTTGAAGTCAGAAGCTGATTTATCAATGGCTCCAGCTTCTCTAGATCCCGGAATTCAGTGAATGTCATTGCTAAGGGGCTGTAACACTTGCTGCTAATGGCTGTAACACTTGGAACAATGACATTCCCCCAAAGTCACCTTTCCCCTCAGGCTCTCTCAGCCATTCTGGAACTGGCAGAAATGTGCTCAGTAGCAGAAGGTTTCTAGCTAGGGGCCCGTCTGTCCCTTTGCCCAAACTCATTACAGCTCCCTTGAGTGACACAATTCAAACAAATGTTGCTGAAATGAAGTTACTCTACCAAAAAGCCTCGCCTCAGGGCGAGGATGAAATTACCATACTGAACTGCCATAAAGCTCTTAGAAAAAACTTCCTGTGCAGCTATTTTTAAAGGAGCCTGCATTGATACAGAACTGGTGTGGCTCCAGGTTCCATTTCATTCCAGCTTTTCTGGAAAAACGTTAGTAGCTACGGTATTATTAGAGCTGACATTTCTTTGTTCCACACACCTCACCAAACTCAGACAACCAACAAGCTTTTCTCAGGCTGCCTTTCTCTATAGCGTCACGATGTTATGTTATGGACTACATTTTCCACGATACCTTTCTCTATATAGTCACTCCATTGCCAAAGTTACTTTTCAAACTACATTTCCCAGGTTGCCTTTTGGGGTCTGGGAGAAAACACAGCTGCAGTCAATGGTGGCCATTACTATCCCAGTTTCATTCACACTGTCTGTATACGTGCTTTTGCTTTTACCACGGGAGATTGTTTTCTTCCCTAAGCTTACATTAGGACACCTGAGTTACCATTTGACAGGTGTACCTCTCTAATCAGAATTTTCACCTGCCACTTTTTCCAGAGCTGGTTACATCTGTCTGCTGCACTTCAGACAGGCATTTTGGTGCCCGAAGCAAAAACCCCTCAGGGCTTGCTCTTCTACCTTACTGGGTCAGTGAAAGAAAATGAAAGTAGTTAAAATAGAAGTCTTTTCAGCCTTTTCAAAAAGATTGTTGGGAACTCAAGCCCTGCGCTCCTCATTGCAGGGAGGATTTCCAAGCTTCCACTGCTTCCTCAATGCCAGCAGACCTTCCGCACCTCTGGTGCGGCTTCACCTTGGGGGAAGTTGTCCCTCCTTTGGTTTTTGGTCTGCACTTTCTTGCTAGGCTCTAGCCACAGGGAACTCTGGCTGCTGTTTTTCTAATACTGGCTGGAAGGAGAGACAGGAATAGCAAAGAGGATTTGCCCTGTTCCAAAAGGTTTTTTTGTTTTTTCTTAGAGCAATTACAGGTGATTTTCCCATACTAATAGATGTTGTTTCCAGGTGAGTTAAAATTTTGTCCTTACAGAAAGAGAAAAAAAAATCAGAGAAAGACCTGAAGAGCTTCTAGTTTTTTAGAGAGAGAGATTGGTAAGTTTTTCCTAAGACCTCTCTTCTCCTTGGCTTCATGGCCAAATGGAAACTAATTTTGATGGTAGGGTGTTATAATGGCATTTGCTGGCAGAGCAGAGAATTTTGTTTCATCTGTATCTGTCTCAGGGAAAATTCTTTCCTCTGCTGCTTGGGACTTAGAATTGAGCTGTTCACAGGCCAAAAGCTTCCATTTTCTGCCCATTTTCTTTCATCTTTGATAGATATTTCTGATTCTTCCCCAGGATTTTGCATTCATAGCTCCATAGTTAGAAAATCAAGGACATAGTTCCTCTGTCTTGTTGCTTATCTTATCCTAATTTTTTTCTTAAAACTATATTCCTAACCCAATGTTTCTATTTTCTACCTTACTCTAAATTTTTTCCTACACTATTTTCCTATAGAAACTAAGAGAGAGAAAAAGAAAGAAATCTGATAGAGAGAAATAAACACTGCAGTCTCACTTTTCAACTTCGGCATTCCACCACCTAACTTGACTCCTGAGAATAAAATATCATCACCTTTATCATTTCTTTAACAGCATGCCTTACACCGGCAACACCCCTGACACTCCTTTCACCAAGTCTCTGGGTCCTGTTCCAGGCACCATCCGTGGGACACCAACTGGGAGATTGGCTCCCACATTTACCCCAGGATACTCTTGAGGAGAGAGGAATAAGAGACTTAGAAGGATAGAGGGGAGAGAAACAGATAGAAACATAGGATAGCCTTGGGAG